GGCGCGATCAGCTTCATGACTCTGGCTTGTTTGGCTTTCCACCATATTTAAAACCATTTCATTTTCTGGGGGCCAGAGTGTGAATATAATTTAATATGTTTGTGTCTGTCTCTCTCACTCTATCTATCTCTTTCTTTTTCTGGCTGCCTCTTGCTGTGTGTGAGTGCAATTTCCAATCCAGCTGCCTGTCCCGCGCCCCACTTGGCCCACTCGCCGATATTATTTATTATGCTTGATTGGTTTTCAAGTGATCATAAAGTAAATGATCGTCGTTTTGGGTCGCAGACCTGGCCCCGGCCAGTCTGTGGCAATTGTGGCGCTGTCCATTGCCATTGAGCCGGCTCCGGCTCCAGCCTCGCTGTGGCGTTAATATGTAGATTTCTGCATTGGGGAGGCGTTAGTTGAAGATTTACGCGCCGGCCAATGAATTGTGAATTGTGGCAGCCTTTCCATAGACAAGGCCCGGGGTCCTGACCCTGTCCATATGTGTACATGCGCATATAGTATATTGCTGGAATGGCGATAGCTTCATTTGCTGCAGACACCTTGCATTCCAATGCCCATATCCTGCTCAACACCCACACGCAGCGCGCTTCTCCGATTTGGCATTAACATTTAATTGACATTGATGATTGCGGCAGCGGACAACTCTGAGAACGGCTGCCTGGCTACCTGTGCAGCGTGCTCGGCATGGCAATGTGCTCCGCATGGCTAGAAATTATTAAAAATCATATCGGAGCACTGTGACAGCCGAGCTGCCTATGTCAGGCCTACTCATCTAGTCCTTGTCGCTAGTTGCCAGTGGACTGACATGAAGAAGACATACAAATAAATTTGTGGCACTTGCAGACACCAGCAGTGGGTGACTTACAGCAGTCACTGTGCAAGAGAAAGAGGGAGAGAGAGATAGAGCGAGCGAGGTCTTGCGTCTCTAGCGCCAATCTCTCTAAGTAGCTCAAAGTAAATGCTGAGAGTCAACGCCAAGTCAAGTCTTTGGGCGCTGCTTTCGATTCACATAAGCAGCTGTGTCACTGTGTGTGTGAGTGTGTGTGCGTGGCTTGTTTATTTGTTGGAGTGTGTTTTGTTTTCGCTGCTTTAAATGAACGTTATTAAGAGATGCTTATCTCTGAGTGATTTATTCATTAAAAAGGCATTTATTAGTCAGAAACAAGCCAATGCCAATGCGTGTGCGCATGTGTGTGTGTGTGTGTGTGCGTGCTGGCTACACTCACCTGCACACACGCGCACAGCGACACCTCCACATGGCCGACACACATTTGAGCCGCTGCGGCTCGTTTGCCATGCCCGCTCGTCGCCTCATTTGTATGGCATTAAAATGCAAAAGCGTGTTTGTTCCTGGAAAAACTGCAAGCACATATGGCCCATAAGCAGGGCGTAGGGTGCAGAGAGGGGCAGGCGGTGTGTAGTGGCCGTCTGTGTATGTGTGTGTGTGCGTTTTATTGACTCGCATATTTCCATAATATGATGTCTGTGTGCGGTTTTAATCACTTAATTAGAGAGTTTTTTAATTGTCTTTAGTTGCAGTTATTGCAATTTATGCAGAAGGTGTTCGCAGTTCGCGCACTTTGCGTGCCGCGCAGGAAATGTGACTTGCGGGCCAAGTTCGTGTCTTAAGTCTTTTGTTGCAAGGTGCCTGAAAATACGTTAGTAAAAACAATCCTCTAGCTGCTGAATAGCAGAACTTTACTAAGAATATGAATATAGACTATTGCTGATTGGGAATACATCTATTTAGACTCTGATATCAATTTGAGTATGGCCAGGCCAATGAAATGGCAGAGAACTGAAGCAAGGGGTCTCTAGGCACGAGGCGATGCCATAAATATGCGTTAGCCCCTCTAGCGAGGTGAGGAGCAGAGCTGGAGCTGCAGTCGTCTGTTAATCACCTGCTCGCCTAGCTGGGCAATTGCCTTGGCCACGACGCAAGAGCCTGGTGGCTTCTTCGGTTTGGTGTCATAAGGAAGCGTCTAAATGATTCATAATTTATGCCTAGCTTTGTGGCTGTCCCTGCCATGGCCATGGCCATGGCCATTCCCGTTCCCATACGCATTGCCAGAGTCATTCAGTTGGTCATTCAATGCTTTCGTTACTTCATTTTTTCAACTTGGCGTACTGGCTTGTGCCTGCCTGCCTCGCTGCCTGCCTGAATCATGCCCCCAGCTCTGCCCCACCCTGGCTTGTAATGCGTTATGGCTGCCACAATGCGTGGCCGTCATCGTCGTCGACGTCGTCGACGTCGTCGACGTCGTTGTCGTTGTCGTCGTTTGTCTGGGACGTTGATAGTTGAAAAAATTACTTACAAATTACATGCGTAGCTTATGCCCCCGTGCCGCCTTCAGCTTGTTTGCTTAATGTGCTTTGTGGCGGGCTACGACTGGGCTCATGTCCAGCCGGCACGGTGTCCGTCGTCGCTGCTGGTATTAGTATTATGTCCCGTGGCTGGGTCGTAAATTGCTTTTCCTAATTGAATTCTGGGCACTGTCACGCCGAGTGACAGTCAAGTGGGTGTGGGCCTCTGCCTCGGCCGTGCAAGAATGGATTTCAGATGCAGCAGCAGCAGCAGCAGCAGCAGCAGCGGCAGCTGTGAATGAATAATCATTATCAGTCAGTCGATTATAAAACTAAATATTAATGCGAATCGTGCTCATTAGCTGAAAAGTCTTAATCATTTGAGTGCTTTCTTCTCGCCTAGCTACAGTTTAATCTACATACTTAATAGAGTGCCAATTACGCCTGTTAAATAATGCAATTTTGCCATAACAACAATTATAATTGAGTTAACAAGCCGCCGGGCAGGGGGCGACCGTTGAAGGGTCTATGTAGTTATGGGGCTAGCTCGGTTTTAGGTTTTTGCGGAAATTTTCGCATGGTTTAAAATGCAGCACGAAGCCCGGCCATAAAGTGTAGTTGCGTTTGGCTTAGCCAAGTCGACAATTTAAAAAGCCAATTTGCACATAATACGGGAAACGTGAGCGAAAACCTTAAACAGAATTGTCCAGCCCAGCGATTCCGACGCATGTGTGCGCAAATAGACGCTAATGCAAATGCGAATGCGAATGCGAATGCGAATGCAATGCCTGTTGCCTGTTTGCTGTGGCTTGATCAGCTTATTAAGAAAACATTAACTCGGCTTGACCCAAATTTCGGTTGGCATACAAATTTCGAGCTGGCGTGCGCTTACCAACACTGGCCGAAAGCATGCGAGCAGTGCTGCCATGTTTTCCAGCATACAGAAGGCCAGATCTGGCTCGAAAGGCAAGCAAAAAAGGCTAAATCGTTGTATGTAATAAATGCATAGTAAATAAGCATTTGTAAATTTGTTAAACTTTCTTTGTGCTCGATTATATTTAATTGTAATTTTTTTCTATTAATTGTAAACATACAGAAATTAAAAAAAATTTTGAAAAAAAGCCTGAAAAATAGCCATTTCAATTCTGAAAGCTTGCCACTCTTTTCGAATTTTTGCCGCAGTCGGATCTTAAAAAATCCAGAGCAGATGAGAAAAAAGCTTAAAAATGCCTCAGTGCATGCGAGTCAGCTGTCTGGCAACGCCTACGCAGAAGCAGAAGCAGAAGCCGGCGATACGCAATTAGATTTATGCAACGCGCAAGTTCACGTGCTTCTGCCCCACGCCACAATTGATTCGCACTGAAATGGGTCGCAAGAAGACAAAGGAGCCGAAGCAGATCAAAGTGGGCGACTTTGTGTTCGCCAAGGTGCGTGGCTTTCGCGCCTGGCCGGCGCGTGTGCTGCAGGAGGACGGCAACATCTACCAGGTGTATTTCTACGGCACTTGCAACGTCGCCAGGGTGCGCGGCTCGCAGCTGTTCGACTTCGAGGCGAACAAAGTGCGCTTTGGCCAGCTGAAGCAGAAGCAATACGGCGGATTTCGGGAGGCCATGGAGCATGCAGAGAAGTCGCTGGCGCGGCCACGTGAGGATGACGGCTACTTCAAGGCGAAGGTGGAGAGCGCCCGCAATCAGGCCACCGCATCCACCAGGTCCAGGAAGAAGAAGACGGACGATGCGATTGTGCCCTTCACACATATAACCGGCGACTCGGACTAGAGCGCCTGAATTACGCTGTTTTAAGTTTGCACAAAGTTGAAATGGAATTTATCAAATACATACAGATGGACATGTTTTCAGTTTATTTTTGTGTTCTTTTGTTTTCTGTTCTTTTTTCGGTAATTGCAGCAGCTTCGTGGCAATTTTGTGGCGATCCGGCGTCACGTGGCAATTAAGGATTTCGGGGCTGTTGCGTTTATCGCGTGGGCGTGTTTGCGCCCGTAATGGCCGCTGCGTGACGCAAACAAAGAGAATCTGTGTGTGTGTGTGTGCGCTGCACAGTTAATCAAAAAGCGTCTGATACACGTTTCGATTCCCGCCCAAATGGCAACGCATTAAATTGTGCGCCATCAGCAGAGTCCGAGTCACCCTGTGGACAGGGGCTTCAGCCTGCAGAGCGGGCATAGTTTAGCTTAATGGCTATCGTAAAAAGTGCGCTGGCCATCAAGCAGCCAGATCCGTGCTGAATTTAAGGGCGAGGGGCAGCAGTTGCTGCTGTGTTCCTTGTGTTTAATATTAACAAATTATCTGAACCGCAGCAAATTAATCGCTGCGCAGTTGTTACATTGCCAGCATCTGTGGTGGCAGCTTCGCCAGATATATATTTGGGTTAACAAGGCGGATGCTGTGGCTGCAACTGCTGTTGCAGTTGACCGCAAATCAGATTCACTAGCTCTGCAACGAGATTTGGCAGCAACAACAGCTATGCTGTGGAGCTTTTAGTGCGTCCAACAGCTTGCATCATCTGCCTGCGATATGTTTCGCAGTCTGCAGCATCCTTGACAGCTGTCCTGTGTCGTTGCGGTCGGGCGCCTGGGGGCATGACGATGCCTGGACAGATTTCTTAAGGAGTTGACTATTTACGCATAATTCGTTCCACTCTCCTTTCGGTATTTTTTTTTTGTTTTTTGGCTATGGATTTTCATTCGCACGATCCCTTGGCCCACGTCCAGGGCAGTAAAATGTCAAATTAATGTTACGACATGTCCAACAACTTTTGATGGCATTTGACAATGTAGACTTGGAAATTCCTGCAGGTGACGCAGTGCCCCTGTAATTTGTTTGGCCGCACGTACGCTGGACATGATGGAGCATTGTCAGCTTGTGCCTGCCCAGCATAAACAAAAACAAAGCGCGCCAAGGGACCTGCAACTGTAGAAAACTGGATGGCAGGTGGCTGACCACGGTGCGGCGGACGTGGAGCAGGAAAGCGCTGCCAGGGTCCAGGGGCCAGGGGCAGCCAGATCTGGCCACCAAAAGGTGTCAATGTGTGGGCATGTCGCACACGTGTGCCTTACAGCCCGAGGCCATAAATTTACTTTGTTTATTCGTTGCAGCCGCACGGCGACCACGGAAAACCAAACGAAACGGCCCAGATGCCAAAAGCCTCTTGGCGGAAATTTGCTTAGGAAATCAAATTAAAATTTGCTAATTTATCAGACGTTTTCCAATCGTACCAACATGGACAGCTAATTTGTGCGAATATAAGAATTTATACATATGTATATGTATGTATGTACATACAATACATGCAAACGGAAGCCTGTGCATACATACACAAATGTACATGTGAATGTGTATGTATATTTGTTTTATCGCATAATTGGGTGGCTCGATAAATGATAGCAAAACAATAGCATTTTAATTAAAATTCCCAAGTGTTTGCAGGTTCATTTGGTCCTCGAACATTTATCAAATTTTGGCAATTAAATTTGCCTGGATTAGAGATCGCAGAATGCAGACTCGGGGGAAAACAAACACGATAACTAATTGGATAAAGTTGGGTGGATTCGAAATATTAATTCTATAGTGAATTGAACACTGGGCAGCATAACAATAAAAAATAGCCATAAATAAAATTTAAAATACATTTAATGACCAAATAAATAAATAGTATAATTAAGATTAATCGATAGTCTTTAATAAGCGACTATTGGTAGTCAACGATAGGTAAATTCAAAATATTACACATCCCTATTTTATGGCGCACTATGCAACACTGTTTGCATACTGAAAACATTTGCCATCAGCTAATTTCCAGCCAATCCCCTGTTTTGTTGTACAGTGTAACCACTCGCAGCATAATAAACTACAACAAATTTGATAGGTCAATCAGGAACTTAATTTTGCGCCTTTTTGACGGCCATACACACATGCGATTATTAGCGGTTACAGGAAGCCAACCCCTATTGGAAATGAATGGGGATCTACCCTCCCCTGAGTGCCCATTGTTCGCTTGTTACAATTCATAACTGTCATGTAATGTGTCACAGACGCAATCGATTCCACGTCGGGCCACATTGCAGTTAAGTCGTAAATTTCTATGGGTCAGCAGGTGAAAACGACACGATTCGATGTCATCATTCATAATTGGATGTTTGGTCAAGCAAAGGCTTGCCATCAAAAACATGCCACACCAACGAGAAATAACGAATTCAATATGCAAAGCGTCTACGATTTTTATTTGCACTCGTGCGCACAGTGGGTGGCATCAACAATGGGACACAGTCTTTGTCCCATTCCCATTCCGTTGGATACTTTGCTGGCTGTAAACATTAATTGATTTGTGCCAAAAGCCGAACAACTTTTTAGGCCGTGCGTCGCGCCCCCGTCCCCTCGGCTAATTAAGTTATGCCCCAAATGGCAAATTAACATAAAAGTTTGCAACATTAAAAATGATATTCACTTTATTATGCTCATATATTGACATCTGAGGTGCTCTTTTTTATGGTTACTTTGTGACAAAATTGATTAATGAACTCATTTATTTGTGTCGATAGCATACGGAGAATTTTTATGATACACTCAGAGAAATATCCGGAATTATTAAATGAATCTTGCTTGCCTGAACTTTGAATATTGCGGCCAAACTTGCGCAATTCATGTTTGTATATTTTTGTTTTTATTTATTTTTTATTATTTTATATTTTGGACTGACAGTGAAAGTGGTTTTTGGGAGTCATTAAATTTAGACCATAAATATTACAGTTTAGGCGGAGCTATTGTTTAACACTTTGGTATATGGGCGGCATAATCGAAAACTTTTTATGATCGCACTCAAAACTCAACTCATAAAAGGGATTAAAACAGTAAAATAATAAAATATTACTCAATTATGTATATTCATTTCTTTATTTCTGTTCAGTTTTTATTTATAAAATAATAATAATTTAATAATATAATTTGTAAAATTTTAGTGTGTCGACCTCATGGTAGCTACGGATGTTTCTCTTAGCTGTTAACGGTATTCACATGACTTCGGATCGTATTAATTCAGAACAACTATAATGGGCAATACCTGAATAGTTAACAGCAATCATTTGCGTGTTGAACACTCAATAGCATGGTCGTATAAACAAATGCATATATTATGGCTGAGTGCTATAAAATGCGTTGAAATATCTCTAATAACTAACATAAAACAGCTCGTAAAATGGCAATCGAATTATGGCCCGAGGCATCCAAAAACAGCCGTCTTAGAAAGTGGACATAAAATTTGTGAATGTTAACAGCATTCTTAACAAATTCATTTCGGCACGCATTCGGCATTTCGGGTTTAGGTCTGGGTCTGGGTCTGGGCCTGGGCTTCGGCAAGTCTTGACATGATAGATAGCTAGATGGATTTTCAAAGTTCAGTTGAGTCGAGTGAAACTGTTAACGTGACTGTCGCGTCTGATCCACCAATTAATTGATAGACCCATACAAAAATTGTGAAAGCCATCGCCTTGGTGTCCACAATGAACGCCTTCTATGCGCTTATAACTCTATTTATAATTTTGGACATTCAGCTTGTTTGTATCTGTCTCTCTCTCTTTCTTTTCTCTCTCCCTGGTAGTTTGGTGTCAGCTCTCTTTGTGTTTGTGCATGGTATGTATCTTGTTAATGGCCGTTTTTAAAATGCCATAAAATCGCTTTATAAGACCATGATATTAATATGCACAACAATATTGGACATTATTATAATATATTGGGGAGTATCTAGCGCAGACAAAGGCGACCCAAATGAGCCCTAGACCGATCCAATCTTTGATATTGGTCAACACCAAACACCTATGCACACCCTGTGGCGCACATTAACCAACTTCAAAACAATGGCAAAGCCATTGAAGCAGCCTGCCGAGCGGACAGCCCAGAACATTTCAATTTGTACATTGTTATCCTTAGTCTTGTTCCAGTTTTTTGGGTATCGAATTGCTGGCATTTGTCAGGTCTTTCATAAATAAAGGGCTTGTTAGATAGTCGGTGAGTGTGTGGAACATCTGGGAACAAGTGCTGCTGATAAAACAGCTCAAGATCGCGCGTTATCAAAGCCATTCACTGGCTCATAACTAATTGTTGTCAGCTCCAATATCCTGGGAAACTGATAAGATGTTATTTGGATGCATGTTCCTTGGGGATGTAGCACTTAATAAATACATGTGTATTTATTACTACAAATTGCTTGGGGAATGTTTTTGAAGATTTATAGATTAAGTCTAAATATTCATTCCTACATCTATTTTCATTCTATATTATTCATAATATCAATTATATTTTATTTCAATATGA